CCGAAAAGTGCCAAAAAGTAATTACAGAAACTTCATCCGCAACACCTTGAACGTGCTGTGGGCGCGAACTGAGATCTTCTCTTACAGTTAATAATTGCCAGGCGGAACTCAGATCCGGCTTAGCCTAATTTGCATAAATTTTTTTGGTGGGCAAAGCTCGTCATGTAATCGTATTCATATGCATATATATGGCCATGATATATCTATTACTGAGCAGAAACACGCCAACACGGATCTATATATGTGCAACCAATCATATACTATATCACCCATCAGAGCTTCACTTCTCAGAATATTTTTGGCTTTTCATGGATAATCAATCCTTGTGCAGAGAAATTGCAAGTTTTCTCCCCCAAAGAAGAGAGAACTTTATGCATTTTATTGTTGGAGAAGAGCTTTATGAAAGCTGCAGGACCTGCATAATTTTTTTGCGTTTTTTAGGCAAACAGGTGTTAGCGCGAAGTGTAAGTGCGTGACTTGCACTTCGCGCTTGCCTCGCGTTTGCCTCCGGACAACTAAAAAACGCCAAAATATCGCCAGTTTTGCAGGCTTCACTTTATGTGCCAAAGTGTAATGGACAGCGAGAATCTAGATGGATCTGTCAACACCCGTCACCGTCATAACTTTAAATGCAAAGTCCACTTCAAACTTGAACTCGAATCTAAACTCGAAGAATCTAGATAACCTGTATATCACCACTCTGTATGAAAAGTTTTATCAAGGGGCGCAGCACACGGGTCACGAACACCGGAAACTGGGAATCCCTTTTCCAATTTGTTTGTCCTTCACAGGGAACATTTTCGAATGCAAGTTTTCACTACAACTCATCCGCGATTCAAAAGGAGCACCCGCTATTTAGAAGAATTGAGAGAAATTTAAAAAGAGGCCAAAATTATATAACAGTCGAAGCACACTGTAACAGTGAAAGGTAACCCAAGAATCGAGGGTCTTGATGATAGTTACATTATACCGAGAAATTGTCATGAAAAATTCACAAGTATAAATAAACATAGGGATAAATTCAGTATATTTTTCAAGCTGTTGGAACGGGTAAAACATTTTCAAACGGTGAAAAAATCCTTGCAGCTAAGATTTGAGTTTCAACTGCTGGAGGAGTCACGAGCCAAATAATAGGATCGAGGGATGAAAGCTTCAGGTATTCTTATGTAATGCAAGCATTGCGCGACATTTATCAGTACATCAACCACTCAAGGGTGGCTTCATGATAAATTTGCAACAAAATGATATAAGACAATCTCGGCAAGTAATGAAATATGCAAGTAGTTTGAAATTTCCTATGCCTGAAAAAGACCGAAGGAATCAAAAGTAGTTAACTTTCTTTGATTGAAGAGGATGGTGCAGTGGTTGATACGGGACGCATTATTGAGACCAAATTTAAATGGGACGCATGATGTTTACAGAAAGGCGAACGTAATTTGGTAATTCAAGAACCAGCGTGGGTTATGATTTGCCTCCTGAAGTATACGTGACCTGCGAATTCTTTCTGTCATTTCTTAACTACATCAAGATTTCCCAGAAACCTTGTACGCAAGAAGAGAAATTTGAAGGTTTCGTACGTGAAATAAACGGAATCAGGCCCTCCCCCCCCCCCTCCCTTTGCTTCTTGTATGAAAATGATGAACAATCAGGAAACTAGTCATCAAAACAGTAAATTTCCGTGATCGGAATGTCTCACGTGATTATCTAATTTGAGTGAAAAAGTACTCCGGCTAAATCACCTAAGCATACCGTGTACAATCAAAACTAAAAACTCATTTTAAAGTTACCATCCAACGGAAAATGAAAATTAAGTCAATCTTTCAATTCCTAACCATCCTCATTCATTCATTCTCAGCGTTTTGATGCTTTTCTATTTTGGTGAAATTGATATTATACGCTTGCTGTCACTTCCAAGGTAATTCTGAATGTCAAAGAAGAACGACCGAGGCAACCCTGAAATGGGCACCTTTTTTTCGCGAAACTGTACTGGTACAGGTTTACATTACTTTTCAGTAATGGCTTTCACAACCAAATTTTTCACATGGTTGACGAAAGTACTTACCCTATTAGCTGTATAATCGGTCTCTAAGACTATTCTTCCATTTTGTAGCTTTTCCCCGCTGAGAGAGGGCACCAGCAGGAGAACCATTATAATATGAAGCCAGTTCATCTCGACTTTAAAATCAAGCCTTAATTCAGCGCAAAGAAACAAAATAAAAATGTTGGAAACTGACAAAGACGATTCGTATATGAGTTACAATAATAATATACGTTGTCCTTGTTACCTTCAAGACTGATTCGTTTAACCCCTATTTTGTGTGAACGGACGGAAACCTCTCACTCACCTCCAAAGTCAGCTGGCTTCCAAAAGTGTGGTTACAGCTGTATTCTCAGTCTTTTATGTAACTTTCCCCCAGACTGAAAGGAAGGAAGTAATAGATGAAGAAAACGAGGAAGTATTTGTCCTTCAGTAAGAAACGAACACCAGACACGGAGAGTCAGCAAGCACTTCCTGTCATCGTGACTGGCGAATGATCTGTCACAGTGTGATATTTCTAGATATCATAGTTTGTCGTTAGGATCGTTTCAGATTGTCATTTATTAATGGTATCGATGTAAGCACGTTTCGCACATTCCATCATGCCCTCACTTGATCATTCAAAGATGCCAACACGATGAAGAACGTTTTGTGGTTCAAGGTGTTTTGACAAAGACGCCAGAACAAAACTGCAAAATCGGAATAATTCGTGAGTGACTCATAGGATAAACTGTTTCTTCTGGGTTTCTTGCTTTTGTTTTGTTCTTTTGTATGTGTGTGTGTGTGTGTGTGTGTGTGTGTGTGTGTGTGTGTGTGTGGAGGAAAGAGAGTGAACTGAGAAGGCACAGCCTGACAGTAACTTGCAAAGTCTTACTAGGTAACAGCTTTGAAAAGTCCCCGATACCATGGTGAACTCAATTTCCTCATTCTTAATCATGCTGAAACACAAACAAAAAAAGACAAAAAACAAACAAACAAACAAAAAAACAGCGTAACACAGAAGCGAAGCATGCAATATCCGTGGCTTCAAAAACTGCAGTAAAAGTTGAAACAGCTCTATCGAAAGAGACAACGTGAGTATCCCTCAGCGAAAACAGATAATTTTTTCCTCTGAGTCAGCTTGTACTTCCGGTGGTCGTAACCGTCGACCAGCGTATCACGTACACGTTACTCGCGATGATGTGGCAACGTGTGACAGAAAGAGAGAAGTAATTTTCGCCAGGATCGGATCTTAGTGTCATCAATTTGTAGATAAACAAATGATTGCATGGCTCCATAATACCCATTCTTCTAACAAAAACGCGCTTACCCGGAAGTATAAGCGAACATGTAATCTAGTTCAATTCAACGCGGATGAAATCCGAAAGTGGGTAGTAGGGGAGGGGAGGGGAGGGGGGAGGAATTTAAAAATAAACGAGGCGAGAGCGCAGCATCACTAATTTCTACCGAAATATAGTTATTTATTTACCAGAAAATAAAAAAAATTAAGGTCAAACGGATATTCTGGTGCTTTCTCTCCGAAAGAACAGTAGATGAAATCATATCATCAGACACAACGATCGGCTACGGTTCAATGAGGATCTAGAGGAACGCAAAAAAAAAAATGGCTCACGTGAAGGAGGCAGCAGCGGAGAATTACAAACACGAATGCGAATGAAGTAAAGAAAGATTTCGACGCTTTAATTACCAACGATGTTCGCTGGAACGCAAAACAAATATTTACCACAGGCGAAGAAAAAAAATCAAATTTTAATGTTTTACCATTTACTTAAAGCGTTACCTGCGTTTTACGTAGAAAATCTATTTGACTAGTGCGCCAGTGAAATATAAAAATCGAACGTGATTAATGCATCTACGTAATACCGTAAAATTCCGGCTAAAAACCCTGGGCCTATACAACTTCGTAAGGGGCCCTTCGTAGATGGGCCTATAACCAGCGGGGCTCATAAGTGTTACACACTCAAATCAACCAGATTAATGAAACACAAGGTTATATTTATTTCCAAAACTTCGAGCACATGCGTTTTCTCTCTTTTTCCCGACACCCTTTTGGGTTCATGAACTCGACAAAACATGTCACGCACTCTACATAAGCAGGGGGTCTTCTAACCAGAATTTTACGGTATTCTGAAAACAAGCGTAACAATAATCTTTCTTTTTAAACCTCTTAAAACTTTTAAGCTACTCAAAAATACTATAATTGGTTCCTTTTGGAGGAAACTCTACAAATATTTGCGTAAATCAACAAGAAAAGTAGTTCTCATTCAATATTTCCGTCAAATTAATGGGAGAGAATCTTTAACACGCCTGTTCATGCTCTTATAAATACAACAACTCTTGAAGACTTAAATATCTGTTTTTAAATGTGGTGAAGTACTTATGGTTATATATATATTAAGTTCTTATTAACCGAGCGGGAGGAATATTGATTTCAGCCAATCAAATTCGTGAATTCGGTAGTTCCCAATCCTTGTGAGACACAGTCATATAATAAATATACATATATATTAATTTGGTATTAACATGTACATATCAAGTAATTCGGTCAACTTAACTACCTGGGTCCAGTTGTTCGAAGGCCGATTAGCACTAACCCAGGTTTAAATTTTAATCCACGTTTCCTTAATTCTCTATTCAAGAATCTTTTTGGGAAAATTATCCTTACTTTTTTCAGAGCATCTAATCACAAGATTGTAGACAAAAATAATTATACCGAATTTTGTTTTTGAAGTTTTCAGATATGAAATCAAATTTATTTATTTAATCACTTTCACCAGAGTGTGGTGAGGGTCGCACAACAGAGCGAGGCTCCAAATTAAGTGCGCCCTATATCCCACCCATCCCACCCCAGGGGAGGACATCCATCACACAGTAATCTCGTGTGTGGGAAATTAACGTCTCCTACCAATTTCACACTAATCCTGGGTTATCTTAACCCACCTTTGAACAACCCGACCCTGGTGTTCCTCTCAATAAAACCTAACACATATTCTGTAGTTCTCAAAGATCCAAGAAAGCAGTACGAAATATCGTGATATAGTTCCTTTTAAGGAACTATATCTAAGGAATTAAAATTCCTTAGACACAACCTTTACAACATTAACACAGCAAACAAAGTTAACTTATTACGTACATCTTTCAGGACTCACAATTTGCAAAAATATTCAATGCAGAGCTATGTGACGACAAAGAAATTTTTATCGAAGCATTGAATTAGATTACGCAACCTAGGACAATTTCTTTTATTGTGCGAGTTGTCTCAACAGTAAATTGGCGTTCCTCAAAGCTAATTTTATATTTAACGCTAGAATCGAACTGTTTAACGGGAGAAATGTCTATTCAATCACATCGACGACAAAACTTTGCTTCCATTCCTTATTATTCAACCTATAAAACTTAGGGCAAATGAGTCGGATCCTTTTCTCAAGTGGCATCACTTGAATATACATATTCACATCTCTATTCGTTTGTTAAGTGTGACAGTAATAAAAGAATCATAGATTGTCAAAAATGGCGAAAAGAAAGGGAAGAAACTGGAGAACATCAATACCTATTCCATTCAAATGGTTAAATTCGACCTAAGCTCAGCCCCACCTCAAAAAATCACTAATCTTTATCAAAGCACGCGATCTTGCTTGGTTTTTTCCTCTGAATAACACTATATCGTCTTGAAGATTGTGCTTGTCAAAGCCAAAAACTTGCTACTGCTAACATTGATTTGTCAGTAAAGTCCTAAACCATATCTCCTTGAGGTTTCTTATGAGGACCCATTGATGATTTATAATCAATTTCCTTGTGCGACGCTTTGCGCTGTTCTCGTAGGTTTTCGTCCTGCACCGGAGTCCTTTTTTTCAGGAAGTAATAATATGCTATGGCACTGGATACGCAAGCGAACACAATTACCACAGATGAGACAGTTACGACGATCATCCGCACTGGAACTGAGTAAAAATAATGGTAACAATGATAAGAAGATCAAGTATGAGTTAACCAACAAACAAGCGGGAACAAGCGTGTCGTTCCTCTTCCTAAGAAAGTTGCGCACTCAGTACTGCTGGTCTATCATCGCTTACATTCCTATTCTGTACGCTGTAAATGGCTCTAAGATACTTACTCTATTTATAAAGAAATTCAGTGGAACAGTCCCTCGCAGCCAATAAGCAACTTTCCTAACTCATCTCATATGAGTACAATTGATGTAATAAAAACTAGACATATTAGTGCAACATGAAACAGATTAGGCTACCTGATTTGGTTGGCTCAGATGTTGGTGCAAATGTCTTCATGGTGACTGTTCTTGTTGGCCGGACTGGAGAGATGGTGGGTTTTCGCGTTATGTAGTCTTTAATACTGGGTTTAAGGGGATCCGAAGAAGTTCCATACAATATCAACGACCAGCGATGAAGTTTACCTATAGAGCACAGAAAGAAAAACGAAATTAAAAAAATGAGAAAACAAACATAAAACTGAATTGCTATATCTGTGAGTAAGTGTTAGGCTTGTTTTATTTAACTGACTTTAGTGGCTGAAAGGTTTAAAAATCACCACATCTAACGAACAGGTTGAACTTTAAACCTAATTTCCAGACTCAAGAATGAGAGAGAGACATAAAAATACACACAAAAAAGACATACCAAAAAGCTAGCAACAGGAAAAAACCCAGAAGCAGAAACAGCAACAACAAAAATACTACCAACATTAAAAGAGCGCATACTAACCTGTACTAGGGTTTCTTGTGTGAGCATCACTAATCTTGAGCTCCCATCTCCCATTCGCTTTCTCTCCCCAGTGAAAGAGAGTTGTGATATGCCAGTCTGTCAAGTTCGTGAATTTCTGATAGTTGTCTACAAAGCGGTCTCGCGTCAATGGGCAGGTTGTGTTACTCGGTGACTTCAAATGAAGTAACAAGTCACCACGCCGAGAGAAATCAAGATTTACTCGAATTTGTACGTGTTCCAGGAATTTTATCTCGCAATTTTTCACTTCTAATGATACTGTACTTGGGATTTTCCTGAAAACGAAAATTGTATGTAGGCTAGGTTAATCGCTGTAACAGCGTGTTTTGTTTGTTTGTTTATTATTATTTTTTTTTTTGTATATTAAAAATGGTTCGTAAAAAATAATAGGATTGTTCGAAGCAAAATTTACTTTATTCTGCAGGGGAGCCACCGTGGTGGCAAGAAGTCTATAACCATCTTTCCAGAATGACAGTGGATACTCTCGCTGTGCATCAAATAGTACTCAACGCTCAAAAACTCGGTTATTGTCCGTGTAAACTAACGTGCATATGTGAGGCCGACGTGAATCACGTGAAAATACTTCAATGCCACTTAGTACTGTCAGTGGCCACGTCCTGTCTGATAGCTGAAAGGTTCATACGACCGGTCATGCAAAAAAAAAAATAAAATAAAATAAAATAAAAAAACAGAAAGAAGTATAACATTGAAGCTTACTCAGTTTTGTAACTGCCTCCAAACTCGCACTTCAGGTGCTGAGGGACTTTTGTCCAGCGCTTTGCGAGGTTCACCATCTCGCCAGCGTCCATAAGTCCAAAGCCATAATACTTACTAAAGAATAGACCCGCTTTATTTTGCTTCCAATCCCCTTCTTTGAGTTTCACTCCACCAGGCTCTGCTCTTGCGCTGCGAGCAATGATGTGTTGTACGTCACGCCAGGTTAACTTAGGGCTGAAAAAAGATAAAAATAATGATACGAGCGTTGACATTAAGCGGTGTGCCCAGTTGAAAAGAGTTTGCGCTATTATGTCAAAAATGCAATGCAAACCGTTGAACAGCTGTCACGACCTATTTAGAGGCGGTTAACGTCTGGTATGATATATTTACAGATCAAGTACTCGTTATCTTAAAGCTTTATCCTTGTTGTTTAATCCTTGTTGTTTTATCTTTGTTGTTTTATCCTTGTTGTCTTGTTCAAGAGGCCAAGGCATGTCTTCCATCTTAGCCAGGAATGTACCAAATACATGACAACTTGGGTGACAGCGGTTCAACGGATCGCACTATACTTGTTGTTATGATAGGCCAAACTCTTTTCAACATAGACGCACCGCCTATGGCGAGCCCAGAGAAACTGTGAGGAATAAAACAACAAGGATAAAGCCTTAAGATAACGTGTATTTGATTTCCAAATAAATGTACCAGACCTTTTTATAGGCTTTTAAATAGGCCGTAACAGCTGCTCAGCGCTTCGCAGTGCATTTTTGTCAACTTCGCCCTCACTCTCTTCAAGCTGCTTATGGAGGATGGAGAATTGAAAGAATTGATATACAAGGATAAAGCTTCAGGATGATTTTTATTATGATCTGTAAATATATATATGGCAGACCACTGCGAAAAAGACACGACGTACTTTATTTCAACGGGTCACCATTCAAACTTAAACGCAACAACACAACAAGAAATTTCAATCATCGGTTAACTCACAAAATTTAAATGCGGGATTGCATCGCGTTGTGGCGAAGTTGCATAATTTTTCATCGCTTTACNGGGGGATGGACAACGGCCACCCAGGCGTATTAGGAACTTTTCGATTTTTCAGAGAGAAAAAAAGCGCGATAGAACTTTTTGATATTACATTTGAAAAAGGTTGATCAAAAGGGTGCTTTAGGAAAAATAAAATGAATTACAACGTTTTGCCACTGTTGGCGGGTTCTCGATGTTTATGGTCAGTGGCTCTTAATAATCCCTTCTGGCGGAAAGCAAACCAGTTGGCTACCGCCAAGGCTCGGAGAAGGGGTTGGACTCGTTATAACAGAGAAACAAATGAAATTAAGTGTTAGGGTAAGGATTGAACCTGGGAACGCCAGATTTAAAATCCTTTGAAATGTAGCCGCGCAATATACAGATCCCTTAGAGGAGTGATTTTCAAATAAGGATGGTTTCTGGCAATAAAAACAATAAAATGGATATTTTTAACTTACATAAATTAAACTTCATTCGTTTAATAAAAATTTTTGCTCGCACAAAGCAAAGTACACGCAAATATGATCTTATACACTTTACAAACTTTATGATTAAAATCAACGAAATCAGGAAAGATCACTGAAATGCACTGAAATGGGGTAAATTATCTTTTGTTCGGCCACCCCTCTCCCAAGTTTAGGCCAATAACGTAACAGTCTTACTTTGCTTGCAGGGTTAGTGCAATCAATCCTGTAGCCATAGCAGCAGCCGCTGATGAATCTGAGAAATTATGAACACATCCTTTCTTGTTATCAACAGTTACCTAAGTGATATAAAAAAGAAAAAAACATAATCAGCCAAACTGTCAAACAAAGTACATTCCTCATTAAACTGAAGAGGAAACCCAGGAAATTAACACAAAAGCGCACGGGCAGTTAATGCCTCTCTGCTCAAATAATATCTTTCACAAAATTCTCCGCGTTGCCCTTGCCCTTGCTGTTATGTCTTGTTTTGGTTTTATAAATAAACATTTTGTTTCTCTCCACTTACAACTTTCCCGAAGTTTCTGTATGAATCTCTACTATAAGCAGAGGCCATTATTCCGGGGCATTCCTCTGCGTAGCTGGGAAGGGAGTTATCTTGATTCACACCGTTGATAGCAATGGTGTATATGCTATTCACATATCCATTGTATGCACAGCTGTCTCCATCTAGCCCACCGTTACCAGCTGAAAACGTGTAGATGGCACCCAGGCCACCACGACCCTATAATTAAACAAATTCTAAGTCGTAAATATTTTAATAAGCTTAAAAAGTGAGGTAATAAAATCCAAATCGGAAAATTAACTCGATAACTAATTGTTTAAAAGTCCACGTAACATACAGATTGTTTCAAAAGTTCGTACCTTTTCTTCAACATAGAAAAAAATTTTCAGCTCTCCTATTGTATTTGGAACCGAGTCCCAATATGTAAAATTGATAATAATACGCCAGATATTTTTTACTGGATCTAGGTCTGGTGATTTAGTCGACCACTCATTTTGTTTCGCTTTTTCCAATAAGATTTGGGCGACTTTCTCTGGCACCATGTCGAAATAGACTACACAAGCCAAAGAAGGCGGGAAATAAAAAAAATCAATGACATTCCCAGTTTCCACATTTTAAAGAAAATAATTCTAATTTTGTAACTTTTGAATAACTTTAAAACTTAAACATGAAGGCGCGACGTTATAAAAGGAGAGGTCCCTTAGGTATCTGGTAGACGAACAAATGGAGCTAAAAAGATGTTTACTTCCACCAGCATGGTGGCAATGATGTCACGTGTGAACCACCTACTTCGATCTCAAATTTACCGCCACAAATAAAGACAGTTTCCATTGGAGAAAAGAAATACAAATCTCAAAAATTCTTGTATTGTGATGAAAACATAAAACAATTTTGAGGAATGCGCCCGCTGTTCACTGCTTTGGATTAGCTTTAGCTCAAGCTGACTTGACTCTTGGAGTTCTACATCACACGACGGTTGATTGACAAATGATCCAGAGGTACCTAAGGCACCTCTCCTTTTATAGCCCTCCTTCGTGTTTAAAAGTGGGTAAAAATCAGGTAATTGTTCTAATAGAAAGGTTTCATTAACGTGAAAATAGTTATAAGATTGTAGAAAAAAGGAAAAGAACTATTGAAACACCCTGTAAATAATGATACCACAAAATAATTTTGATGTAACAGCCACATCCTATATATTGTGCAAAATGCTGGTATCTCTATATCTTTCGGTGCACGTAAATCGAAGCCATAAGGCTAAGCCCGAAACTGCACCGTATGGCTGGAAGCTCGGTAGCTTCCATTTGACCTTTTCATCGCTGGAAGTGTCTTTACCATGCGCACCTCTGTGACATTACGTACCATTTATCATATCATCAAGTTGATATCACTGTCACATTAAAAAAGTGTACCACTGCAAATGATATCTCTTACCATCGATACAAATAACCTCACCAAGCCAAAAGTACACAGTGCAACGACCTATACTCATAAGAAAGATCCACGCGAAAGGACAGAACACCATAGCAAACGCCATTTTAAAATAAAAATTTCCTCTCTGAGGTATCCCACGAACTTAAGTCTGAAGTTCAACGTGAGTCAGCCGGTTAAGTATAGGCTGAACATCTACCGGCTACATGAAATGGTGCCACTAAAATGATGAAGGCTCTAAACTAGTAATTCTTTGTCACTACAGTACACAATACCTTTGAAGTGCCAATTTCTAGAGCTTTACTGGTCAGTGGTCCAGGTCCTTTTACTTCCCAGCCCACATCCCCAGGACCCCAGCTATTGGAATATATGTCAACGCTTTGTAGTTTGTGCACCAAGGCTTTAGATTCACTCGCATCATTCGACCAGATGTGATTATCAAAGAGGCGAACACCTGAGAAAAAAACAAAGCGAGATTACCCAAAATTTCCATTCAGTGACTTAAAGCATTAAATATCAATGTTGCCATGCTTGGCATATACAAGAACCAGCAAGTAGAAAATGGACACTAAAACGACGAAAACACTCGTAGTTATGTCAGCTGAGGCTGCTGATCATAAAACTGGAGAACATTTGGCAATCTCTGCTGTACTTTGGGCAACAAAAATCTCCAAACTTCAACTGGATTTGACAAGGCTTTTATTAGGACTGGAAACTCTTGCAAAACAACGTAGTTTAAACAACAAATCAACAAATTCTACAAAATCGTGTTTCAATAACTTCAGCCAACAGTTTTCAGTCCTTTCTCATTTAACATTAGACAGAAAGTATTGTGGTCTTATTGTTCACTAGTAGACTTCCCAATTAGTAGGCAATAAAAATATAAGCAACTTGAATCCAGTTCATGATTTGAATGTTGGGAGGAACATTAATTTTGATACTGTTATACATGCAACCTGATTGTCCAAGTTAGGATCATCTTACAAAGGGGTGAGATGACAGTAACTAGGGAGACGTGGGAAACCTAGCTAGCAAATCTGCATTGACTTGATTTAGTTGATGACCGGTTTTGCACTAAGGTAATTGAAACTGTTAAATCTGTTTGGGTTTTCCTACACACAATGTCACGTGATCAGTTCTCTATATTTGGATTGTACACGAGGTTGAATTTTTTGAATATAAAACTGCCATCTTGACCTCATCATCACTGATTTCTGGACTTTTGAGAAAGAGGGAAGGGTAGGTTGAGACGGGCAAGTCCGTGTCCTCACCGACTTAGGCTAACCTATGTCGACAGATTGAAAAAGTTAAGAGGACCTGTAGAATATCCTTTTGGAGCAAAAGCACAGTAAAGGGAAGAAAAATTAATCAACTGGGGATTCCTCTTTTACACTTGGTTCTATTCTTTATATTACCTGCAATGTTGGCTTCATAAGCTAGTCCTGTTCCACATAAATCATTATTTCGTGTTCCAGCTATGACACCTGCACATTTATTGCCATGGCTACAAGCAAAATTGTATTATCACAAATTAGTGTCACTTTCTCACAAAAAGTCTGGTTTATGTGATGTCCAATTAAATTTTGGAAGATAACAAAATCCATGACCTTGATAATCATTCTTCCTTATCTAAAAACCAAAATCTAATAGTATTGCCAGTCACTGCCTCATCTAAAAAATTATATTTATTCTTTCAGATCACAGCCACATGTAACTGACCTAGTCAGTCATATCTGACCTGAAACCACTTCTTACTTGCAGTACAATTATAAGTGTCCCAGCTCAATTCTGCTGGGACACTTTCTCACCACAAATTTCAACATCTTAGTGCATTTTGTGTTGTTACAACTTTCCATTTGGTTAACAATTATTGCTCTGTACTAGCAAGTGGTTTACTTTTCATGCAAAGACACAGTAATTGAAGATACAAGTATGTTAGAACACAATCAACTTACCCTGACACCTCAGTTCCATACTCCATGTGTTTGTTAGCCACATAATCATAACTTAAGGTCCAGTTCTAATGAAATAGATTAACAAAAAACACAATGGTAAAAATTGCCTGTTGTTTAAAAACCTTTATTCACATGTAGGTTAAGCCTAGATTGACTTGACTATAAATTAAAATGAGTGGCCAAATTATTTAAGGGAAAAACATTTTCCCATCAGTAAACCTAAGAATTTTGGTCTTTTTTTCTAACCAAAAGTTGTATCAACGTAATCCTCAAGACAAATGATAACACACTATATTAAATCCCCTGCACCGCTGAGGCATATCACATGAATGTGAAAAGATCAGAAAGATTAATTTTTTTTCTCTTCTTTTAGGTGTGTTTGTCCTACAAGTGGAACTGGTTGTAGTGTAAAAAAAAGTATGACTTCCTTTCTTTGAGTCTGACCCCATCCTGCACATGAACCTCCAAAGTTGCACTTAACTAAAACATGATAACTACATGACTGTGTACAACTGTACAATTTGTCACATTCATATGTGCAATTTGTTTAGCCTTTAAAATGTTTGTAACCTTTTACTGATTTATCCCAATTTGCACTCAAAATCAAGTGATTACCTCTAGATGATTTATTGCCTTCCCATTTTGCACAAATTCATTTTTTGTTCTCTATAAACTTCATGACCAATAAATGTCATTCAAAAATTAAATGTGTACTTAAATTTAAGGAAAAAAATGAAAAGGGCAAACAGTAATTACATAGTTTTCTTTCAGTTCAGGGTGACTGCCATCAACTCCATCATCAACTACTGCCACCATTATTCCTTTTCCTGTGTAGCCTGCTTCCCAAGCAGAAATGACATTGAATGTTGGCTCATTAGATCCTTCAGGTCTATCCTAGCATCCACGAAATGAAATTAAAAATAAGTAGAAATATAAGTAGTCTGAGACTGTATGTGGCTTCCAATATAGCACAATTTTTATAGCATTGAACAGAAATGGAGGTTCTGCTGTATAAAGACTGATAAAAACAATTATTGATAACTAAATTCAGTTGCCCGTGCTTACATAAGATAACTTAATAAAAATAATCGCAAAAATAACCTTTTTAAAAAACTGTCACAGTTAAGCATGGGCATTGCAACACAAATTCTAATAACTGTTTCAATTGCCCTCCATCTAGGATTTGAAATTCATGTATTTCTAAATATATCAGTACCCAAAGGAAAATCAAATCTCAGTTGTTACTAAATTCAAATAAAGATGCTTACAAGTGCACAAAAACAAGCCAATAACTCTTATTTTCTTTCTGAGACAGAAAGAAACAGAAATGTTTCATTTTAAAAGCTAGCCTTTGCATAAATGTTGACATCTAATACAGGCTTGACAAATTTACTATTTGTTATTCATTCATCCTCAAGCAAGGGCTCTTTTTTCATTACCCAAAGGTCAATTGTCAAGCCTGTATTAGATGTCAACATTTATGCAAAGGCTATAAGGTTGGACAAAAAGGGCAAGGTTTGAAGAAAAAGCCATGTGAAGGCACTAACATGTATATAGCACAAACAAATTTAAGTGTTAACTTCATTTTACTCATATAATTGACAAAAGAATGTCACTTACAATGTACCACTGTTGAATAAACCAAGGATCATCAAAAGTTTTTGAAAATAGTTTATACTTTTTCTCTTGTTGTTGCATAAACCACTCAACCTAAAAATACAACACATTTTTCAAGAAACTATAAACCTAACCATGAACCGATAAAATAAGTGTGGTTTACAAGTGAAGGATGTAGCAAAAATCAGGTTCCACTTTTTAACATCATTTTGTCGATCACGTAAACTTTTCACTCAGAAAACAGTTTTTAATTATTAATTTTGCCCTTCATACTTATCCATATAGCATTTCTGGTATGGTTGAAACTACCTACTATTATATTGTCTGTATTTTTTAGAACATTTGAAGAAACCTCTCACTTCTTCCTTGGCCTGATTGAATCTCCTTCCACCTGAATATTTTGAGGGTGCTAAAATGTCTTCGAGGTTATTGGTTCTACCTGACGAGTCGACCCACGACACATTACCCACGCTGATAATGGATTTCCTTGTTGACGAGAGTACAGAGCACTGTAAACCACTGTGAATTTGACTAATGTCTTACAAGTACCTTTTGCTCTCTTGACAACTTTGCATCAATCTTTAAAGATAGTTGAGTCTTTCCTGAACTTTTGTCTAAATCTGGTCTTTGAAAGAGATGATAATCCTGAAAAAGCTGAAAACATAATTTTTTGCAGATTTGATTACTTGATGGGAGACCTTTGTGAAACATTTC